AAAATTAGTGTTTTTGCATGGCGCCTCTTCTTGAATAGACTACCCACTAAAGACAACCTCCTCAATCGTGGTATTGACCTTTCTTCCAACCCAAAATGTGTTTTTTGTGGTGATAGTGTGGAAGATATTAACCACATCTTTGCAGTGTGTCGATTTTCCCAAAACATCTGGACTCGATTATGCTGCTGGTGGGGAACTACTTTTTCTCCCATTGGTAGCGCCTCCCTCCTCCTTTTGCAACTTTGTTCACTTAAGTCTAGCATAAAATCTCAAAGTTGTTGGGTGCTTTCTGTTGTTACAACCATGGTTTTAAAACCCGGCCCGGCCCGGTCGGTTGAACCGGACCCGGGCTTAAAAACGGGCCGGTTTCATGCATTGGCCCGTTTTGCAAGTTGGCCCGCGTTGGCCCGCGTTAGCCCGCCAGACCCGCTCCAAACTCCTAGCCCGTCCCACCCGCCGGGCCATCCCTCTGCCTCATCCCTGCTCCATCTCCGTGAGTTCATCGGCATCTCACCACAGCAGTCACCAACTCATCACCTCCGGCAAAGCGGCCTGATCTCCCTGCTCCACTTCCGTCAAGATCTCACCACCAGTCACAGCCTCATCTAGTCATCTCCTCTGCTGAACAGAAGCAACAAAGCTGCCCAACCGACTCTTGACGACCACATGAATCAAATGGCGGATCTCGTTCAGAAGCTCTCTTCGGAGCTCCGTTGGGGCCTCCGACCAGCCTACGACAATTGCATGGGATTCTTCCATGCAATCGATTGGAGTAGATAAGGATCAGGAAGCGAGCTTGAATGGAGAAAAATGGTAGAAAAAGAAAGAAGATAAGGCGAAGAAGGTGATGGTTTCAAAAAAAAATTAAATAAAAGATCTGATGAAAAAACCATAAGAAATTATGGAGAAACAAAGAAAACTCTCTGCAAATTGTAAAACCCAGAACAGAAGAAAGCAGCGAGAAACAGAAGGAACCATCGACGAGCTCCAGATCTCAGCCACCTCCATCGGCGGCAACACAACTCAGCGTCCAGCCGATCGTCCTCATCACTCATCTCCTCTACCGAGCAACACAGTAAAACAGAACAAAATCAACAGATCATCCTCATCTGCTTCATCTCCTCCGTCAATCACGGCATCTTCATTTGCTTCATCTCCTCCGCCGAGCACCTCCTCCTCATCTCCTCCGTCGATCATGGCGTTCTCATCTGCCTCATCTCCTCCACCGCTCCTCTTCTTTTCCTGCCTCCACTGAGCAGAAGCAGCAGCAGAAATCAGAATCTGCAACAGCTCATCGAACATATCGTCAAAAACTGAAAAAAGTGTGATTTTAGGTTGACCGGTTGGACCGATCGGGTGAACCGGTTCAACCGGTTGAACCAGACCCGGTGGCCAAAACGGGTCAGCCACCGGGTCGGGTACAAAAACATTGGTTACAACAGCATGGGCCATTTGGTATTTTCATAATGGTATCGTGTTTAACAACCTTACTTGGAATGAAAATACTATCTTTGAGTTAGTGTTAACAAAGACCTTTGGTTGGATAAAGGGAAAATCTAAATCTGCTATGTTGAATTACAGTGATTGGTGCCAGTTCCCAGCTCTATGTGAAGTTTAATTTTGTTTCTTATTTTGTAAAAGGTGAGTGGAATTTTGATAACGATGATGGGAGTATTGTAAATATAGGTTAGAGTACCCTTTGTACTCTATATTAATAATAAAAAAGAAAAAAAAATTAATTGGCCGAAAAAAAAAAAAAAAATTAATTTTTTTAAAATAGATAAAATTGATGTGAGGGATGCACCCTTAATTAATGGTATTTAAAGAGAAATTAATTTTAAAATATATATGAAAATAATTAGTTGAGGGCAATTTGACCGTCCAAACCAAAAAAAAAAATTCATTTTTTATGCTATAATTATAAATTTAAGGGGGAAATGCATATAAATTCTAACTCTAAAAAAAAAATTAGAATTCTAACATTAACCTATGGTATTTTGTTTAATTAAAATTCAATTTAAAATTTAAAAATTTATCTTATTAAATATTACTATTTAAATTTAAAAATTGATTGACTTTTTAAATTTTAAATTAAAATTTTAATTTTTAAATATAAGTTAAAATTTTAATTTTTTTTAATCCGAATTAATGTACATCAACCTCCAAATTTAAAATAAGACAAAAAGAATTTACTTTTGATGTTTTTTTTAACACAATTTACTTTTGATGTTTAAGACAAAAAGCATTACATATGCGATAGCACAGACAAGATGATTAATGATACATCTAACACTGGTGCAAAGATACCTTGACCATTTCAAAGATACCACCTGACCTGACCATCATCCATAAAAACAAAAAGAAAGAAGAAAGAGAAAAATTAAGTAAAATCTTTAACTTTTGCGAATTTTTTATGAACAAATAATTCATTTTGCTTTGCTTTTCAGAATAAAGTACACTTCGAGTTCCGTTTATAATTAACTATGATCAGCGTATAGATACTTCAATCAACAGAATCTGTCCCGTTATGATCAAATTTATTAAGTTCTTGGTGATAATTTAATCCAAAGCCGAATGATTTAATTTAATCTAATGTGATAATTTATACAAATTAAAGTGCCAATTAAATAGAGAAAAGAAATTCAAAAGCCAAATTGATGAGAAGAATATAAAATAAAAGAAACCAAAGGAGAAGAAAAGATGAGTACAGGTTCGGTTGTGCAAAGCTGTTGTTGGCCGTCCATTTAAATAGGCAAAAGACTAAAGGTCATCTTGCAGTTAGTTGTAGTTTAAGTATATAAGAATGCCGTTAATGGGGCAGCCGTCATCTTTAGTTTATTAGATTATTCAACTGGGCGCAAAGGAAAGCCAGTCAGTATAAAAGCTGAAACTGAGTCTTTTAAGAACATTCACTAGCTATTAGTATGTTTTTTTAGTAAATCTCCTGATTGCTATTAAGGATTAATTTAATAAATAGTTTAATAATTATTCACTCAATATCATTTTAAATTTTAGACTAAAATAATATTGAATTAATAGCTATTAGATTGTTTGTTAAATTTAGCCTAATTATAAATATGAGTTACCCATGTCGTTTTTCAAATTCCTTCCTTTCCTAGTATCATTTTAAGGATCAAAATTAAAACCTTTCAATTTAAAGTCAGTCATTTTTATTTTTATTTTTTTTAAAAAAAGAAAACTCAAATATTAAAGTAGTTTTTTTATTATATGATAGACTATACATAATAAGAAGTAATTATATTCTATTTATTTATCTTATAATCCCTTTTAACTTATCTTAAGATTTAATTTAAAGTCTTAAACTTAATATCTTATACTCTTAACCATCTAAAGTAATTCTAAATAACAAATAAATAGTTGAAAGTTGTACTTGAACTCAAACTAGCATAAATTTACTCGAACTAGACTTTCAACTTTCAAAGATTCCACTTTGTTTGCAAAGGCTTCGTGGCAATCAGAAGATTTTTAACCTATCTTTTAATAAGTTTTCCATTGAGTGTAGTTTCGTCCCTTATCATTTTATTTATTAAGGCTATATAATTTTATTTAATTTATATATTAAAAATAATTAAAAATTAATAAAATAATTAATAATTAATAAAATAATTAATATTTAATAACTTAAAATAAATTTATAAATTAATATTTTTAGGCATTGTAACCAACTACTAAAAAGGTAAATACTATGAAGGTTGTTCGGATTAACTGTTTAAATTTAGTGGAAGGCTAATAACTAATAATTGATAGATTATAGTTGACAACTAAAGATTGATAACTAATAATTAATAATTAATAATTAATAATTGCTGCTGTTTAGTAATTAGTGTTTGATAATAGAGTTGTTAGCTGTTACTAGTACAATGTTAAATTACTATTAAAAATATATTTTATGTTAGTTAAATTATTTATCCATTATAGTTAGGAGTTTTTTATTTTTTAAAATTTAAACAATCAAAATTAAAAATTAAAATTACTAACTTATTTAGTATGAAATTTTAAAAAAAATTGCCAAAAACTCAAAATTTAATTAATTTATAGAATTACTTAATTTTATTTTAGGGATTTTAAAATTTGAAAACGAAAATAAAAAACACAAAATCATAATTAATCATATTAAACAAAACTTAAAGTTTATCTTTTTTCAATAAAGATAATAATAACATCACATTTTTTTAATTTCAAAAAAATAAAAAATAAATAAAATACTCTTTATTTTAGGTTAAACCCCTATTTTGGTCCCTGAACTATTGTACGGACCCCCGATTTGATCCCTGAACTAAAGAAATCCCTAATTTGGTCCTTGAACTATTGTAAGGACCCTGAGTTGATCCCTAAACTATTGTACGGACTCCCAAATTAGTCCCTAAACTATTATACGGATGCCCAATTTGGTCCTTATTATTTACCAATTTAACCCAACTTGGTCCTTCTGTTAAATAATAGCCCAGGAACCAAATTGGGGCGAAATTGTAAACATTAAGAACCAAATTGAGGGTCCATACAATAGTTCAAAGACCAAGTTAGGCCAAATTATAAACACTGGGGACCAAATCAAGGTCCGTACAATAGTTTAAGGACTAAATCAGGGATTTCTTTAGTTAAGAGATCAAATCAAGAGTCCGTACAATAGTTTAGGGATCAAAATGAGGATTTAACCTTTATTTTATCTAACTACAATTCATGTTAGTAAATAATAATAACAATGTCCGTTTCTCTGACACCTTAATTTTCCATTCGTTTCTAATTTCTTTCAGCCCCCTAAACCCCATTTTACTTCTCCATCTTCTCCTATTCTGCCATTCTCCAATTTAATAATAAGAATATTCATCTATTACTTCTATTCTATTCTCTTATTAGATTACTTCTATTCTATTATACATCATGGATTTTTTTATGGGTAAATTTTTATAAATATCGTCTGACCAAGAGCAACAGAGAGATATGGAAGCTAGAGAGCGTGGTGCAAGATCGAAGACGGGGTGCATATCAGAGGGATCTTTTGTAGATCATCATTGACTCTGTCCTTCATATTGTTCCCAATGAAGCAGAAAATTGCGATTGCTTACAATGTTTGACTTAGATTTTTATCTATTATCCTAATTATGATAGTTCTCTAGGAAAATAATTTAAGGTTTATATGGGTATTTTCTTAATTGCAGTTTTCAGCTATGCCATTCCCTTGGTAGGGGAACAGGGTCTAGTTTGGGAACCTTTTTGGTTTTCAAGATGAGGGAGGAAGCAAGCATGGTTGTTGGTTGTTGAGATTCTGCATTAGAATAAATTCAAAACGCTCCCTGAATCTGCTAAGAAGATTTTGATGGATTAAGTTAAGGGCATATAAGTTAATGAATAAATAAATAAACCATAAATGTTTTTGGATCCAACGGCTGCCCAGTGTAGTTGTTGGAAAACGCAATTGTTAAAGGTCTTAATAGTTGTTAATTGATTCCTAATAACTGACAAAAATTATTTTCCAAACACTGATATTTAACTAATTAAGGCTCAACAGTTATCAGCTGCCTCCCAATTTTCAAAACAAATGACCCAATAAACAGAGAATAATAGTGAGTAGCATAACCACAACCCCTTCCATGGGGGGCAAACCCTATTTACAGCATTTCTTAAGTTGTTTTAAGTCTGTAGCCAACATAGACTTGATTTATAAAAGGAGAAGAAAATGTTAAAATTAAAAGCGACATAATTCACATGAATGCCAAAACCACTCCCTCGTTCAGTTAATCATGTGAGGATCACAAAGACATAATTTGAGAAGCAGCAGCAGCAGCAGCAGCAGCAACCACACCGACGTACGGTAAAGTGCAGTTTTTGTCTCTTCTCCTATCAGGTACTCCTTTTCTTCCGGTAATATACAGACTACAATGCATGGGGATGATTTTTTTTTTTTCCCATTTTATTGCCAGATGATGTAGGTAGTGACGTTAATCTCGGATGGTTTTTTGGTGCTGTAATTTTGTTTTCTATTTCTTCATGTCATAGGTAGTTGCGGTTGTCTGTGGGTTGCCTGTAAGATGTTCGATGATATTTCTGTGTGAAAGTGGCTACCACATTGATTAATGGGACTGCCACTCTGCCAGCGGTAATTTTAGAACGAAAGATCCTGTAGAATTACTGTAGCCACATACTGCTAGATTCCTTCGAAAGGATATCAGCTGTCATGAATTTTGTTTTATAATCTTGTTTTTAGCCATTCTTCGAGTTGTCAAAAGACAAAAGGAATGATGGGTTGGAACTTGGGAGCTTGCAGAGTATTAAAGTCCTCCATGTGCACCCATGTACTCTGTGGTTGAGATTAAAGACCCTAAACTTATAGTAGTATTTGATAGATTAATTTTGGAGCGCCAAAGAATCTAGCAGCTAGCTTACGAGGTAATGGCCAAATGGATTAGTTTTAAGTATCTAATGTCCTTTCGCATGATCGAAAGACGACAATATCATGGCCACAAATGTAGAGTTTGTCAGTCTAAGGAGAGAGGGGATGCCAGATTGCAAGTTCAGTTTTGTCCCACAAAATTAGAAGGGAAAAAAAAAGAAAGAAAATCCGTCCCATGTTAATAACAACGCAACTTTGCAAGTTCTAAATTGTTCTGTCATTTCAATAAATAATTAGAAGGAAAAATATAATTAAATTGACCTAGAACTCAGTTTTTAGTTTCGAGTACTAGCATAGTCGCATGCAACATGAACAATTCGCTCAACAGCTATGCAACAAAAAGCTGTACAAGCTAGCTTGCACTTTTGTCGGGGAGATTCCATGTGACAAAACATTATTCATGAGTTGGGGACTAAACTGCCGCCATCCCTTTTCATTTTTATAGGATTTCCTTAGTGCATCTAGCATCTTTCTCCTTTGGATGTGGGGGGGTGGGGGTGTTGGGGAGTGGGGAGAAGAGATGCATTAAGAGACTATGCATTGTGGATGCTCTTGGGACAAGTAACCTTAATCTCCCCAAGGTTCCAAATTCAAAGGTACAACACCATAGTAACAAAAGGCAACAAATATTCCATAATCTTTATATTTGTTCCTATTATAGCCCTAATTTAAACTTGGAAGAAAATCAAGATCACATAATCAAAATGAATCCCATAGAGCGTTCCTAAGAGACTTGAATTTAAATTATTGTTAGAATTGGTTAGGATCTCAGTTGGATCTCCACGCAAAGGGTTTTTAAAACCTCTTAAGAGAGCTAAGGATCATTTGAAAAACTCTCTGTAATCTTAATATTGTATTCCAATCTCTATACTTCTTCTACTCATTAATAAAATCTTGATAACTCCAATAGATTTCTCCTTTGAGTTATTTTTTAGTGTTAATAGGGATACGGAAAAGTGGTGGTGAGTGGCTGTTTTTCCTAACATATCTACTGAAAAGCAAAGCACTAAGGTATTTTTCAAGGCAGTTGGCTTCAAAAACCAGGAGGAGCAAACACTTGGAGGCTTCAAACAGGGAAAAGAGAGAATGGTCTAATACAGAGCCCGCGAATTAGTGGGAAAAGCTGATCAGCCTGTTTGAAGGAAAATGTCAACTTTTTGTGTATATAAAATGGAGATTAAGAGCAAAAAGATTCATGACAAAAGTGTTTAGACAACATGAAGGGTGGGTATATTTATAGCAAATACCAAAGCCAACTTGCCCTCCACAATCCCCCCACCCGCTAAATATATAGTATTTTGAGTTTATGATAGCTATACTAATATGTGGCTTCAACAAGCAAAGCCTTAGTCCAGCTCCAGCTCCTAGTCCCCAACAATCAAAGAACAGAATGAGATCTTTAGAGATTTTAAATTTCAATTTCCTTACATCCATAGTCGTTGGCTTAAACCTTAGTTAATTTTGAAAGTTTGAATCAATTCATGTAGGGTATCTAGCTAGTAAAGTCAGTGCATGGGGCATGCATACTTCAAAATTTTAAATCTAGTTAGCCTAGGTTTTGTATATGAGAGATAGATGAGGGAGGAAATCTTTATCAAATTTACCATCATATATCAAAGTTAGCCAAGTTAGTACTTATAATTAACTACAAAACTTTTGATCTAAGATTAGGGTGTGTGAAGACCTTTCCTTGCTTTTATTTTATATGGAGTATATGTTTTGGTAGCGTGATTCGAGGTTAAAAATTGTTAATTATACAACAACTTGTCCTTGCATTGTTCTCCAAAAAAACTTCGTCAATTTCCTATACTTTGAAACCCTCCCCCACCCCCACACACACACACACGATTCCATTTCGAATTCTCTCTATAAATACTACGGCCACGAAAGGGTCTATGCCAAGTATTGCTTGCATAGCTTTCCTCCTCTCTCAAACTTGTAAAGCAACTAACTTAATTAGTTGCTTGGCGAGTGCTCTCTCCCTCTGTTTCTGTCATCCCCTAGCTCCTACTTATACACCTAGTTAATTTATCTCAAACTCACTTACTATGGCGCAAAACAAACTATTTTTTGCAGTTTTTATCTTCCTTTCCCTCATATTCATACTAGAAATCCAGTCTGTTGAGGGAAGGCATTTGAAGTTTCACTCAGAAAAACTTAAGACCTACAAAAGATTTTTTGCAAAGGAAACAGAGGAAACAGCAAAGGTTGTTGAGAGCAGAAGTAGCTTGCATGCTGCTGACAAAATAAAAGCAGTAAATGCTGATGTGCAGTCTCCACCAGCAGCACCATTGACACCAGGTGCCATGGCTGGAGCGTCCCAAGCGCCACCACCACGCCATGTTGATAACTTCAGGCCTACGGCGCCTGGTCACAGCCCTGGCATCGGCCATGGAATTCATGACTAGGACAATTTGCTGATCAAGAGTATAAACAAAAAAAAAAGGAGGGAACTAGGACAAGTTAATTTCTTTGTGGATTGCTTTAATTGATTTAGCACATGTGTGCTCTCATTAGTCCACTGTGTTAAAAAGTGCCTAAGTAGTCATTTGCTTCGTTATCTAGATATCTAGAGCTTTGTCATTCATTTCATCACTTTTTTTTTTTTTCACTATGCAGTGTTTTTTTTCACAAATGTGTATTGGTGTGGATTCAATTAGCTTTTGTAATTGCTTCCAAATGCTTTATCTATCTTCCCTGGAATTAATCATCATTTCAACTAGAATCTTACTATATTTCCTTTGTGCAACATGCACAATTCGCACAATAGCTTTGCAACAAAGTTGCACAAGCTTGCACTTTTATCTGGAAGATTCAGCATGGCGCCTATAAGATGGATTTGGAAATTTATTTAATTATGCTGTGACTGCCAGGTTCTGTAAGCCTGAAGTCATCAACATGGCGTGGTGGTGGAGCTGGGGACGCTCCAGCCACGGCACCTGGGTCAATGGTGCTGCTTGTGGAGACTGCACTTCAGTATTTTACTGCTTCAGTACTGTCAGCAGCATGCAAGCTGCTTCTGCCCTCAACAACCTTTGCTGTTTCCTTTTCAAAAAATCTTTTGTAGGTCTTTAGTTTTCCTGAGTGAAACTTCAAATGCCGGCCTTCCCACAACTGACCGGATTTCTAGTGTGAATATGGGGGAAAGGAAGATAAAAACTGCAAAAAATAGTTTGTTTTGGGCCATAGTAAGTGAGTTTGGGATAAATTAATTAAGCGTATGAGTAGGAGCACCTGTTGAACTTATTAACTTTATTAAATATTGATATCTAAATTAAAAAATTAAAGAATGTTTGTTTTAAATTTTTATGAATAGCTATATGTTATTGTCTCTAATAAAATAAATTAAATATTTTAAATTATAAATAAAAATAATTATTAATTATTAATTATTAAATATTAATTATCAATTATACCTAAACCGTTAATCCAACCAACCATTATAAATTTCCCATTAATTAAAAAAAATTACTAATAACACATTCTGCGCCATGGGCCGATAGACTATTTTGGACCAAATGTCTTGTGATGATATATGAAATAGAAGAAAAGCCCATACTCGATCAGGTGAGTTGGTGAACATTGGGTACGGTATACCCGTTACTTATAAGTATTTTACTTGTCAAAGGTAAATATTTTACCTGAACTTTAAAAAAATTTGATAAGTAATAGGTATGAAAATAGTCTA